ACATAAAACCTGCGCAATTGATATTATAAGAAGGGGTTTTGTTTACTTTTTTTTTTTCTTTGTTTATAAAATTTAATCTACAATTAATCTGATACGCCACGATAATAATAAATAAATTCGGGAAATCCAAAGTTACATCGGAGTCTAGCGATGATACTTATTTTCGGAACATTTATTATAAAGTGCTACTTAATCACCAAAAGTGTATATGAAGGGGAAAAAAAAAGTTTTTCATGATCATGAATTAATCCTAACTAAACTCGTAATTGACCATAGTCAGCCAATGCAACATTTCTTACCATTTTCAGTTTGGTTTGAATAACATTTAGGCGGATACGCGTAAAAAAATTAATTATTTTAAAGAAGCCCCTTTTTTTTTTATTAAGAGTCCTGAACTCGATATAACCTTTCGTTAAAAAAAAAAAAAATCGAAACTACTTTCTATTAACTATATTAGGGATGATTGACAAATAAATACCTATAAAAAGTTGTTTGTGAATGTATGCTATTGATTACGTACCGAATATTCGAACAAAGAGTAAATTTCTTTATATTGTGATGTGACATTTTCGTTCATTCATAAGTTTCAGAGCTCTATAAATCATAAAATAGAGAATATTTTTTTATTTATAGTATTTATTTAAACGAGTGTTCAACTATTTTAAACAATTTTGGTAACTTTGGCAAATTTAGCAAGTTTGGCAAGTTTAGAATTTAAATACTGCGGAATTTTACATGTCCGAATATATATCATTAAATTATAATTAAATTATAATAAAATTATAACAATTATAATAATTATATCAATTATAATAATTATTAAATTATATTAACTTATATTAAATTGTATTAAATTATAAACGATTTACTATCGTTACTAATTCTTCTTATTATTATATAATCAGATTATATATCTGATCATAGATAAATCTGCCCTTGTGTAAATATTTTAATAAGGATATGAAACCGAACTTTGTAGAAAAAACTTGTAAAAAAACTTGTAAAAAAAAAGGCGGGATTTGGGGAAGTTTGAATTTACTATAATTGCGATTCTTGCATGGACGGATTTTTTTTTATTGAAAACTTTAGAATTATTCTAACACATTTTAACACATTATAACACATTTTTAACACATTTTTTAACGCATTCTATGGTAAGTTTCCTTATTCTCAATAATTTCATTATATTTCATTATTTTCTTTAATGTTCTCTAATGTAACCGTGCATAAATCTAAAACTTTTTGGCGTTACGGAGTTGAAATCTTATTTGCGAATATAATGCAAATATAATGCGAATATAATGCGAATAGAATACGAATAGAATGCAGACAGAATGCAAACAAAATGCAAATTGTATAAATTCATTCATATAGCCCTTTTAAGATTCCCTTTAAGATTTTGGTGTTTTTCCGCTTTACAAGAATTAACCAGAAAGAGAACAATATTTACCTTTTTTTTGATATTGTTTTTGTCATTCAAATCTTCTATACTTGCCCTGAATAATTTTATTTCGTGTATGTGTAAATTTCTTTACTAATGGCATATTACGTGTTATAGTTTCTATAGATGATTCACGCGTCGATTATCATGTTGTACTTGACTAATTAGTCTTTTACACAACATCAATAACCCTAGTATAATTTGGGTCTACTATCACCAAATCCATTAGTGAAACTCGGTGTCAAATTGAATCACAACTCATTCATCCATTCAGATCCAGGGAACCTAAAAAATGCACTATCCTTAAAATGGTTGGTTACTTGCATGAGAAGTGCATCAAATAACTGCCATTTTACTATTTTTTCGTTTTTTTTTTTTCTGTTCTTTCGTTTTAGGATTTTATTATTATGGAGCTTTAATCATCTCATCCTCCCTGTTGAATTCTATTTTTATCCATTACCATTCACCAATTCTGATTTGTAAACCTGTAATGACTATGGTATCAAATGCATCTTTATCAATAAGTGCGGGGTAAACATTTATTTCTTTCTTTTACTTCGTTTCACGAACGATGCCAAAGAAATTACGCGCGCCCCATTTAGTTCATTATTTAACTCAGGATATTGAACTGTTCAATGTACATAATGTACATTCACGAGTTCAATCAGTAAAAATGTTTAATGTGGCACTCGAGGTTTTAAATTTAGGTGCCATAATGATTCCAAATTCGATAATTTGGTTCTATAAAAAAATGTTTTGAATAAATAAATTTGCCTACTTTTTTTACAATGAAATAAAGAGAATATTTTAATTAATTTTATATTCTTGTATATCACAATAATATATTCACATATATTCACATATACTCACATATATATATATACTCACATATACTCACATATATATATATACACTCACATATATATATATATTTACCTGTAAAATTTTTAAACAGATGTCAGTTGGGAGATCATTTCTATTGTATGTTGTTTAAAAAAAAAGTCGATCTACTGCATATACTGCAGTTTGTACATTGATCAGGTGCTCTCTCAGAAACAGGTATTTTCTTATTTTTAAAAACACGCAAACAAAATGTTCTAGACGTCTTCTTTTTTTTTCAAGGCATCAAAAAACTTGTTACTAGATTAATCTGGATCTGCCTATCTTGATAAAAGTCACGTAACGTACGTACGATTTAATCCCAATACAATGTTTTTAGATTCTGACATAACTTTGTTTCTGATGTGCATCAGGCACGCATAATTTTTAAGGTATAATCTATACTTAAAGTATTAGCGTAAATATATATAAAAAAATATATGGTATAGACAAATATTTTAGTATAATCAATAGTAATTAAATTTTATACTGTATTTAAATCAAATATAACTATATTTATCTTGTATGGTTTACAACCTTATGGTGCTATGAGTTAACGCCTAATAAATTTTGAAGATCTTATTAAATACGTAATATATTAAATTAAGTAAAGTACGTACTGTACATACGTACGTACGTAAAAACGTACGTACGTACATACATAAGTGGGTACTTACGTACGTACAGTCTTCACATCAATTCAACTATTACAGTATTACCACCGAAACTTGGGCGTCACCTACCAACTATCACCAACTATCACCATCACCAATTATTATCACCTAACTATAAACTATATACAAAGTTATCACAATTATATGCGTACAAGATTTGCTACATATCAGATATACACAGATTTACATAAACCGTATTATTTGTGCACGTTTAGGTCATCTGAGACTTTATGGTATATGGTACACCCCCTATTTTAAACCTTCGGATCCTCATATACATACTTTCTTTATTACATAATTTTTTTTCTTGACCCTATCTGAGTTTTCTGAGCTTACAAATTCTGTATCGAAAAAAAACTCTCTTTTCAAGTTTGTATAATATCAAAGAATATGGGATTAAAAAAAAGCATCGGTAATAATCGGTAATAATCGGTAATAATCGGAAATAATCGGAAATTATCGGTAATAATCGGTAATAATTTAATAACGCGTTTTTTTATGTATACGAGATTGTGACGCGATTTTACAATGAAATGATAAATAAAATTACATAATGACAATGGCAAATCTTTATTTTAAATTCTTGTGATATTATGATATTACATATTCTTAAATAAATCCTTGTGACATAATATTCCTAGAATCTGATTGATCTCTGAGTAAATACCTTATCTAAGGATGTGACACTTTTTGAAAAAAATGTTTCTTTCGAAAAAACTTGAAACTGTTGGTGCAAGTGTGCACAAATGATTTTCTTTAATTGATAGTAACAATCAGTTTTTTCTTTTCAAGTTAAGTTCAAAATTTCCACTGTTACGTAAAATATATAATTAATTATGTACATCTGTATAATTTGCATGTATTGCGCATGATACACTTTTAGATAACGCTTTTAGAACCCTGTGATGTATATAAAACGAGAAATGAACCAATGATTTTTTTTTTCTGTTTCGAAGATAGAGATAAGCGGAAAAAAATAATTTATAAAGTTTTCATGAGATTTTAAACTCGATTTAGTAAGTTATGTACGAATCCTTCCAACATTTCTTGGTGGCGTTGAATTATTGGTGTGATTTTTTGGAAAAATTTTTGTTGTATCATGTCACTGTACGTACGTGTTCGAGTTACAATCAAATACATCTATAATTGAAGTTTGATTTTGCATTACCACAAATATCATGAAAATCTATTAAAAATACGCGAATTTTTTTACTCAGTACCAGCTATTGATGCTTTTATACAATTTGAATATAATGTGATATCGTCCTTTGTTAAACTTTGGGGCGTTTGTATATTTAGAGTACACGTACTGTAATCTTATATACTATATGATTCATAATATAAATCATTAGTATAAATCACTAGTATAATTAATTAATATAATTAATTAGTATAATTACTTAGTATAATTAATTAATATAATTCATAGTTTAAAGTATTTTTTATATTTTCATACATACGTTCATACACTTCATTATTCAATACTCTGTAAAAATTTCTACTTGGTTACATTGCATTTTTTGTGCAAAATTACAGATACCTCTTAAGATTCCCCTTGGTTTTAAGTTTATTTTAGTATTTGAATCGTTTAAAATAAACCAATGTTTGGATTTTAATTTTACCAATAGTTGATTGCAGCTCTAAATCTCTTGTTTTTAAGCCTAATCGAACTTACTGTAGAATATCTTCACGCGACTTGGGTACATGCAAAATTATGATTTAAATTTAAATTTTGATTGGAACAAGAACTTACATTGTATCGTAAGCTTTGAGTAAATTTAAAATTACTTGTGCATAACTACAACATTTCAAATATACTGTGTGTATATTATATATATACTGTATATACTTCTTAATTATTAATCTCCAAACACTAGTAGATCTAGATTTTCAAAAGTGGTATTAGATTTGTAAATAAAATTATTACATTTAATGCACTCCTTGAACTATAGTTTATAGCGTTGAGATCTTGATAATGTAAAAAATAAAAATAAAAAAAAACTTTCTTAGGTAAGCAAGCAGTTCAGTTCTTAAATCGGTTTGAAATCCGTCCATCGGTTTACAATCATCCATCGGTTCGAACCTATGCATTCTATTCGTCACACCCTTGAAGTTTACCAAATCTCAATGGTACAGTACGTACGTACGTACTTATTGGTATGTACGTACGTACGTATATATAACATGTACATACGTACGTACGTATATATGGTCAATATCATTTACTAATTTTTCCTCTAAATGTAGTCTCTAAATAAGTAACAGTTTGGCCCAAGTTGAATGTTTAAAAAAACAAGTTTAATATATGCATTATTTGAGTACTGTCGAATGGGTAATCTTTATAAATTAAACCGTTTCTATTTTTATTTCTAGATTTTATTTGGCATATTGATAACAGTAGACCAGTAGACTCGTTCTAGATGTTCATGCCAGGTATCTGCAACAACATAATCATATGTGATAGCATATCATTTCCCCATAACACGACCTGCCAAAAACAATAAACAGAAATAGAAAACTATGTGAAAAACGGACAACTAATTTAATTATCTAAATTTTGCCGAGTATGGATCTGGCTAATAAGCTGGATAAACTATAAAACCTTGTTTTGATCCACTAATAAAAGTACTCTGAAGATCGTCAAATCTGCCATATTTGCTATATTTGATACTGCGGACAATGAAATCGTTGGTTTAATATAAACCTTCCTTTTTTAATTGTTGGGTTAGTATTTAAAATTAGAATTTCCAGTAAATGAATACAAATGTATTTTAATGGATTTATAGATTCAAATAAAGACACAGATTTCGGCATCCTCCGCAACATTAATGTACTGTACATTTAATGTACGAGTTGATGTTTAAAGTTAAAAAATGATATAGTATGGTCACGTCAGAAATGCATCCTCTTAAGTATGGTAAGTTTATTCATATCTAGGTTTGGTAATTACATTCCTCTTAGGTATGGTAAATACATTCCTCTTATGTATCTTATGTATCTTATGTATGTTAAATGCATCCTCTTAGTTATGTTAAATGCATCCTCTTAGTTATGTTAAATGCATCCTCTTAGGTATGTTAAATATATTCCTCTTAGTTATGTTAAATGCATCCTCTTAGGTATTTTAAATGCATCCTCTTAGGTATTTTAAATGCACCCTCTTAGTTATGCTAAATGCATTCTCTTAGGTATGGTAAATGTATGTACAGTCAACTCTTATGAATGCAAAATGACGAGACTGTATGCAAAAAATGTCAAAATTGCATTTACAGAAAATATGGAAACTGCATTTACAGAAAATATGGAAACTGTATTTACAGAAAATATCTAAACTGCATTTACAAAGAATATCTAGACTGGTCCAAATATTTCTACTTTAAGTTGATCATCAATGCTTAAAACGAAATGATTATGCGATAATTTTCTGTTGGCTAATTTCTAAAACTATAATACATATATGCTGTATAATGTTGAAGTTAAAAAGAGTTCAATTTGAGAGGTAAAGTTTAGCCAGTTAGATAATCTAACATAAAAGCGTGAATGCTGATATTTATTTATATACTACACTTGCTTTAGTCGACTAAATGGATTTTTAAGTATTAGTTCAGCACTAGTTAATAAATTTAAATTGACTATAAACATTATATGCTATGCACTAATTAAGTTTCGCCCCATCTAGCAATGAAACATGTGCTTAAACATTTAATAATTCAAAAATTAGTACTGTTTATTATTTATTTAATCTCTCTTTCACTATCGCTATCTTTAATATTTTTACTAGTTGTTCGCGTTACACGTTATTCTGAAATTTAATTGGTTTAATTTATGTAAGGAATTTTTTGAGGGAAAACTCGGGTCGTAATTTAGAAGAGATCTCCAAATTTAAAATGATTATCGTTATCGTTCCATCAGTTTAGCAAAACAAATACGCACGAATTTACTAAACTTTTTTTTGAAAAAACATTGATATCACTTTTTGACCCATCATTATTGACTCGCTGAAAAAAAACATTTTGCTATTAACTTAATGTTTATTATTTTTTCGAGATTTGAAATGTTCAGCTTAAGTAAAATAAACGAACACCGGATGGTTTCGTGCCGACGAAATGCGTAACAATCTTTAAATAACGAGATGACAAAACTAATAATAGGTTACAACCCTATTTAACTGATGAAAAGGTGATAAAGCTAATGAAAGTTGGCAAAATTGATGAATAATTATCGCATAGTTTCGAAAATAAGCACCATTTTTTTGTTATAGTGCTTTCTCAAGCACCTATCTCAATGAGTTCAACAAAGAATCTGATTGGTCTGTCTGATTAAACCGACCAATCAGATTCTTTCTTGAGCTGATCAGATATAATTTTAAAATTTAATAATATAATTTTAAAATTTAATAATATAATTTTAAAATTTAATAATATAATTTTAAAATTTAATAATATAATTTTTGTATCAAGTAAATCTACTTTCGGCTTCTAACCAAAATTTTTCTTCAGCTCACGATGATTCTAGCGGTAGCAAAATCATCATAATTGAATTTGGTAGAACTTTCGCAATTGCTCTTCAATGTTCGGTCAATATCCGTTTACATTTGCTTATATCTGCAGATCAAATAAACAAACGTTGCCCGAAATTTGAAGAGCAATTGTGAAGTTCTATTGGACTAATTTTGATAATTCAATCACCGTTTGAATAGTCTTGGCCTGGAGAATAGTTTTATTAGAAGTTGAAAGTAGGCTTACCTAGTAAAAAAAATCCTATATGATTATACTTAGGGATTTATTTTTTGGATATTATACAAAATTTGATGGTAGCTTAATTTCGGAACTACAGTATGTGGTATGTATGTAATAGTTAGGCCAGACCAATTTAATTCTTCGTTTAACATAACCCCCTCCCCCCTATTTTTTAAATTTTATATGAACCCAATACTCATTAATAGTAATTAATAGTATTTACCCCCCTCAATTTTTTAAATTTTATATAACTAACATATGTTAAATCAACCAATAAAATTGCTGTTTTTTTTAATTTGTGTATTTTTCACGCCCTCCCCCCACTCTTATAAACTATTTAATGTTATGTTAAACAAAGAATCAATTTGGAGTGGCCTAATTTAGATGCAAATAAGTGTGACAAATCGGGTGACTGATAGTATAAATTTAAATATACTTATAGCTATTAGTAATATATATAGTTATTTGACAATTTATATATGTATCTGTTTAAATTTATATAACTGTATTATATATTACTGATTAGTATAATCAAATAATAAACTTATTATAAGGTTATATAAAAAATTTTTTTGGTTTTCATAATCTAAGCAGATTAAAATTTGAAAACTTGTAAAAAAATTTTTTTATATATTATAATAATTAGATAGATTTTTAAAAAAAAATTTAATACTATTTTCATAATTTTTAGAATACTTAATAAAAATTAACTAAATAGTACTTTAGCTAATTTGATTAAGTTTAAAATTTTGGAATAATAGATTTAATAAAAATAAGTATATACATAAACTAAAAATCAGAACCTATATAAGTCTGGAGTATTATCATATTCGGGAGTTAGCTAAAGCTAGGTACATCATGAAATTACTTAATATATAATCCAGATCAGCCTAAACAAAACAAAGCAAGACGCCTAAAACACAAAAAATGCAAAATGGTCTATCTAAACCAGTTTGGTTCACTAAGTAAAAGTGTTAGAAATATAATTTTACTATAAAAATTACTTAATCTACTCCTAACCCTAATATTTATTTATTTTGAATTTGCTATATATATAATAAGATTAGTTATAGATTTGTATCAAGATGATATTAATTTTGAACTATCTATTATATTTTGTATAACCACCTAAGTGTAGCAAACACCTCTTAATTTTCTATTTATAAACTAATTTAAGACTAGCTACTATTAGTTATGAAGAAGAAAGAGGACCCAATAGTTAAAGTATAAGACTAATAAAAATATGAAAAAATAGAGAAGTTTTGATTGTGCTATTTTTGAATAAATGAGTTAATATTGTAATTATAAATTGTTGTAGGAGTTTAGTAATGGTGTTTAGAAAGGAAATTTAATTTATTTAGATTTAAATGTAATATTTCTTGAGGTTTCACAGTCATATTGAAATTGGTTTCTAATTTGCCAAATATTTAAGATAAACTAAGACAGATAATTATTAAATAGACAGAAGCAAAAGTTGATAGTATTTTTAGTAAGAATAGGTTGTAGTTGGTCAGTAATACAAAAAAAAATTGTTCCTTGTATAAGAAAAGAAAGTTTTGAGAGGGAGTGTTATGAGTATTTGAATTAAGTAATATATTTGTAATTGTTACAGGGTTTATATTTTCAATTTTGAGTTTAGTTATTGTTTGGATTGTATATTGGTTAAGTATTTGATATAGATCAAAAAGTGCTTGATGACAGTTTAACAGGTGTAGAGTATCTTCAAATTGGTTACATCGAGTATAATTAGGAGTTAAATAAAGATAAGGATAGCAAAAATGAAGGTTGAACATTGTAGGTAGATTGTTTAATAGTATTTTAATGTGTAGAAAAAACAAATTGAGTTTGTAATTACAAGAGTTAGAGATAGTTATAAAAGTTTTAATATTGAATTGAGGAATGTTACAGATGTTTTTAAGTTGGAGAACTTTGTTAAAGGTTTTAATAAAAATTAGGTTTTTTGTAAATTTACGGATTTGTGATGTAAGTGGAGTATTGTACTATGAAAAAAAGTGGATTGTTATAAGATAATTAAATTAAGTTTAATAGATCATCTATTTGTGCCTCTTTTTGCGAAAATGTTTGTATTTTCAGATTAAAGCATTTTTAGAATATGCTTTAACTTTGTGTATAGTAAGAGATATATTTTTCTTTTAAAGAAAATTGTTGATAATATGTAGGTAATTACAGTTTTCAGTTTTGATTTATATGGAGTAGTAATAAAGTAAGTTTTTAAGAATTTGGATTGTAAACAAATTATTACAGTGAATATGTATATGCAAGTTTTGTGATAAAAAAAGAAGTATAAATATGATTGGTGCTAATTCAGCTCTTGTGGTATTAGAAGCATTTGTAATATTAGCAGAAAATTTAATTTTGGTGTTGTTTTCTAAGATCCAACCAGTTCCAGTTTGTAGATTTGGTGTTGAGTATTTTAATTATTGCATCTAAGTTAAGGTTTTTTAATAAGATTAGTTGAATTTGTTGATAGATATTAATAAGTTCTGTTTGGTATACTAGAGTGATAATGAAGTTAGTTATAAGTTTGATGTTGAAATTTTGTATTTGAATATATATATTTTTTGAGATAATAGGTTGGTGTAAAAATGAGAAAATTTGTGATAGTGATAATATTTCTTAGTAATCGATTGAGAGTTTATAAGTCTGTTTTTGTTTTTAACTTTTACAAGGAAGTTGGCTGTAGTTGCAAAGGAGATTGTGAATATTTGTAGGAAGGTTGAAGAGTTATAATACCAGGAGATTTTTAAAAAATAAGGTAGTTTTCAAAAAGAAAGTTGTTTTGTGTTATAGAGATACTTTTTCTTATCTGTAAGTTAGATATTGAGAGGAGAATTGTTCAGTTTTTTTTTGAAGATTGTATTGAGATTAATGTAAGTGTATTAGTAAATGGATTAATATTTTCTAGTTGGATTGATGGCCAGACTAAAAGTAATGAGTAATTAGATACTAGATTTTTAATATATTTGTACTAAGAGAGAATTGGTTTCTGACTGTTTTATGTGTTCGAAGATATATATTGTTCTATAGTAATAGATATTGATTATCAGATGTAAGAAGTTATTCAATATAAAGTATTTGATTGTTTTTGAGGCTTTGAATAGTTGATAATTTAGGATTTGAGAGAATAAAATTGTAGATTATATTTAGTTTGAAGTTATTTAAATTGTTTATATTATTAATTAGGTTACTAATATTAACTCAACTCTAATATTAATCAATTTTAATTAAAAAATCAAAAAAATCAGATAATATCATAATGTACCTAGCTTTAGCTATCTTCCATATTTGATAATATACTATAATTAATTGTTGTTTTCAAAATAGTTTTGTAATTATACATCATGCAAAGAGACAGACAAAAAATTTCGAAGTTAAATTATTGATATGTTAATTATAATAATTATATTAATGCATCAAAAAGGAATATTAGATAATCAAAATGCATCAAAAACATAACTTTTGTATCACTTAATGTGTAAAAATTGTGTGTTTGTCACTATGCTCCAAACAATAACTTTTATATTAGCAATTAAATAGTGCAAAAGTTTTATTAGCACTACTAGACTTTATATATTTGCTTTACAAAATTTTTGGCTAATATTATTTATATACAAATATTATATGCCAGTAACTTATATATAAAATTACCCAAATTTTTATCTGTATATAAAAGCTATAATATTAGTTTTGCAAATAATTTTAAATATTGACATGTTTGATAATATTAAATATTTTTTTTAGTTTTAAAGTAAGATCTTGCTCGTATCTTTATTAATAATTTTTGAATAGCATAGTATAAATTATTACAATGCAGTTGTTGAAGCTTCTATTTATAAGAATTTGTAAAGCTACTACTATTTGTAACAGTACAAATAAAATAAA